GAGTCTGTTTCCCCTTCTGGATACTGGAGCCACCCAAGCCTGTTTTCCAGGGCTGTGTCGAGATTATTGCTGTTCCACGAGGTTCGCTGAGAATCGGGGCGCATCCGTGGAGAGTCCTCGGGCAGTTCCTGACTCTCTGGTTCAAGGGCATTCTGTGGGGGCATGGGCCCTCGTCCTTAGCTACAGTTCTGTGGGGAACTGTTAGAGAATTTTGAAGTCTATGCCAGCCTCAAGCAGTTTCTCTTGCAACGGTGTGTGTGCACTCACGTGTATGCCAACTCAGGGCCAATCCTCATTGTGAGCCTCACTGATGTTTAAGTCATCTAATGATGCAGCTGCCACCCCCCACCAGCGACTGGAGTATGGGCAGTTCCTCTGGAAGAGGAAAAGCAGAGCCCCCATGAGTAGCTGTTTTGCACTCATTCGGTAGAGTCAGTGAAAAACTGCTGGTGAAAAAACTTGTGAAAACACTTCTTGGTTGGGCGCGGTGGCTCACGCCTGTAATCCCAGCACTTTGGGAGGCCGAGGCAGGCGGATCTCTTGAGGTCAGGCGTTCCAGACCAGCCTGGCCAACATGGTGAAACCCCATCTCTACTAAAACTATAAAAATTACCTGGGCGTGGTGGGGTGAGCCTGTAATTCCACCTACTCAGGAGGCTGAGGCAGGAGAATCACTTGAACCCAGGAGATAGAGATTGCAGTGAACACAGATCGTGCCACTGCACTGCAGCCTGGGTGACAAGAGGGAGACTCCGTCTCAGAACAAACAAACAACAAACAAACACTTATTAATTTATAAAAGAGCAAGAACACAAAGAGAAAAGTTTTCCTGTTACATCATCACTTAATGTAAAGTCCAAGTCGTATCCTCTACCCTCTCCCAGCCTCCAATAAATACTAACCACTCTCCTGGATTTACCAGCAGATCGCCTTTATAAAAATGGAATTGTATTATACTCATACACTTGCAACTATTGTTTGCAACTATTTTTTTCATTGACCTCACAAATCTTTCCAGATCCAATTGCTTATCCATCATCCTCATTCTTTCTGATAGCAACTGAGCATTCTTCAATGCGTGTGCACCATGGTTTATCCAGGAGGCCCCCCACATTGATGAGCAATTGTTTCCTGTTTTTTTTTTTTTTTTTGTATTTCTGTTGCAAATATTGCTTCCATGATTTTCTGTCATACATATTGCATCTTTGTGCATGTCTTTCTGTACATGTACAATTGCAGGATTGAAGCATATGCTTATTTTGCTTTTTAGTAGCTGCTCACAGGTTGCCCTAAAAGAGCAGGGATTGAATTTACACGCTCACTTCCGGTGGCTGACACCGTTCCTTTGAGAATAGTGTATCCCCTCTGATGCCACAGGATGGGTGTCAGGTGCAGTGGGAATGTCCCTTGAACTGTTGGAGGGCCCTTACCACACAAGTATTTGCCTGTGCCCCATTTTAGCAGAAGTGTTTTGTGGGATTTTGGATGAAATGCTGTACCGGCTTACCATGCAGAGAGCGCTGAAGAGACACAAACTTCCTTGATTTCTGGTTTGGGGTCCTTATATCTCATTTCATGCCCTTCTAAATAAGTTTATGAAATACAAGAACATGAATGAGCTTTTGAGATACAAGAAAATGTCCTTTAGAAAGACATGAAATGTAAAAATGACAGAAATCAGTTATTCAAACTCAGCCATGTTTGTATTTACAAAATAAGTGATTTTATAGAATTACCCATTAAGAATGGGAAACAGGAACAGAAAAGGAATTTCAAGCCTTTTTTTTTTTTTTTGAAAAAACAACAACAAAAAAGCAGAAGCAAAATGGAAGTTGCTGTGATGGCTGGTGCACTGCCCTGGGGTCAAGGCCTTGGAGACCTCCCTGCCATAGTTGCTAAAGCATGGCACGCCGGAGGCCTGAGCTGGGTGCTGGCAGGATTTGAATGGTGGACTCCAAGAATCTTTTGGCCATGAAGATCTGTTTCCAATTGTATCTCATGAGCTCATTCATGTTCTTGTATCTCATAAGCTTCTTGAGAAGGGCATTTCATGAGTTACAAGAACCCCAAACCAGAAATCAAAGAAGTTTGTGTCTCTTCAGTGCTCTCTGCATGGTAAGCCAGTACAGGATTTCATCCAAAATCCCATAAAACAATTCTGTTACAATGGGGCACAGGCAAATACTTGAGTGGTAAGGGCCGTCCAATAGTTGAAGGGACGTTATTACTGCACCTGACACCACCCTACAGCAACAGAGGGGATACAGTGTTTTCAAAGGAACAGTGTCAGCCACTGTACGTAAGAGTGTAAATTCCACCCCTGCTCTTTTAGGGCAACCTGTGAGCAGGTATTAAAAAAAAAATTGGTGAGAGGCAGCCTGGAAGAGCTGGTGTTTATGGCTGAGCTGATCCACCGGGTTTCCAAGCTGGAAGTAACTGGAACCCTGGGGAAGGTTAAGTCCAAGGCCTTCCCAGATGCAGGGCTGGAAAGAACTGAGGAGCCTGGTCCCTTGTCCTGGTTTCTGTCTAATTGAAGCTATTATAGTGGGGCTTGTGTTTCCTACTTATATTCCAGTGGACGATGACCTAGAGACCTGGGAGTGTGGAACTCCAAGATGCATGGCTGGGGACAGTCAACATAGTGAAAAGCTTTGTGGTTGGCACCTGGGTCAAATCCAGTTTCAGCTACTGTCTATCTGTGTGACCTTGGATAAGTCCCTTAACTTCTTTTGAGAGGGGCAAGTACTGGCAAATCAGTTAATATCTGGCCAAATTCTGCCACAGGGTTCTGGACTGGGGGCTTGGGACTCAGGTGAGGGTTTTGATCTTTGTGCTGCCACTGGTCTACATGACTTTGATCAAGTAATGTGACCTCTTGGGATTTCAGTTTTCCCCTGCAGTATTTCCCATTGAGATAAATGAGATGAACCAGACATGACAGGTGCTTGGCACCCGGGGAGGTGCCCAATAAACGGCTGCTTAACAGGGATAAAGTAGGCCATGGGGGCACCTTGTTCATCCCTTTGTCCTGGGTAATGATCAGGAGGTTATTTTAGGTTTCTCCTGATAAGGTAAGATGCACGTTAACTCTCAGCAGGGTTTTTAGCATACTCTGTTCTGCCTCGCGGTCTTTGCTTAAACTTCAAGCGGGTTCCTCCTGCTTCGTCTTTTTTGGAAGATTGAATTCAGATGCCTGCTTTTTTCCCCTGAAAACTTTTTCTGAGTCCTTTAAGTGCCTAGCCCCACTCCAGATTAAATTTAGGGGCCCTTCGTGATGCTCTCTGCCCGCCGCCTCCCCATGCATGCTTCTGCTGCTGCACTTGTAACTACATTAGAATTCTCAGTTAATTAGTCTGTTTCCACATGGGCACAGGGCAGGTGTAATTATCTCCTGTTGCTGGTGTGGTTGGCCGAGGAGGTGCCTTTGGTATGGGTGTGCAGTAGAGGGAGGTGGGGGCAAAGGGCAAATCCTGAGCCCCTCCCTATTCCCCTCATTTGCATCCTAGTCCCCAGCTCAGTGCCTGGCATAGAGTTGACATTTGATTAATGCTTTCCCCAGTGCCTGATTAATGTTAACTGAGACCCTGCTAAATGCTGCAGGCTGTGCATACCTTGTAGTTTTTCATCCTCCCAGTCGCCCCTTGTGGACATTTAGCCTCCATTTTACAGATGAGGGAAGCGAGGCACGGATTTAGAGCAGCTTGGCAGGAGGCTGAGCCGGGCGGGAAGCGGTAGACAGCCCTGGCTGAACACCAGCTTCTCAGAACTTCTTCCTCTTTAGATCCTGGAAAGGTCTCTCCTCTGTAACCTTGAGAGCTACAGAGTAACAACTCCAGGCATCTACAGGGACTTGGAGGGAAAGAAGGAGATAAGAAACAGAACAAATAATGGTAATTTTAACAATAGCTTAATCTAAGGAGTGCTGACTTTGTATCATTGTTTTAAGGGCCTGAGATACATTATCTTGTTTAAGCCTTACAAACACATTTAGATGGTGGATACTGTTACCTTCTTTTATGGGATTGGAAATGAGCCCAGAGGATCTAAGTAACTTCTTGTAGTGGCTGCGGCCTAGCTGGCAAGGGGGTCCCTGGTGGCTCAGCTCCAGGGCCTGGGGAGCTCCGTCACTCTAAGTCCTATTTTGGGGGCAGGCAATGTGTTTCTGGGGATTAGGGAGGCAGAATAAGGGGATGGTACAGAGTGAGGGCTCAGGGAGTGACTACAGATTTTGAGCAGAGGAGTGACATGATTTGATTCATGTTCTAAAAGGATCTTTCTGGCTCTGGGTTTGAGAATTAACCCTAGCAGGTCAGGGAAGAAGTGGGGAGACCAGGATTAGAATAGTTCAAGTATGAGATCCTAGGAGGAGCTGGTGAAAGGGTGAGATGCGTTGGAAGTGGTCATGAGAGAGTCCACGAAAGGATTCCTCCAAGATTTTGGGCCCAAGCACCTCTCTGACACCGCCCACGAGCATAAACAGCAATCAAGGACACCTTCTAGGTGCTGGGCATCACCCCAGGTGCTTTGCTGGGGCATTTCTGAACACTCCCATTTTAAAAAGGCTGAAACAGGCACAGAGAGGTCAAGCAGTCTACCGAGAGCCACACAGTCAGCAGGAGCCTTCTCTGAGGTTTGAACTTGAGGCTTCCAAGAGCTGACATTTCCTGCCTTTTATCCTCATTTCTATGCAGAGGAACCATTTGCCAAGGTCTCCATGGACGCTTCTGAAGGCTTGGTTTGTTTTTTGTTTATTTCATTTTTTTGTGTGTTTTTAGTTTTGCTTAGGAAGTAAAGAGATGGTTAGCAATCTCTAGACAGGATAGAGAAGGATATTGGAGATCAGGGGTGAGAGATGGGAGCCAGGCTGGGTTGTTTTGGCTATTCAAATATTCTGTAGGATAAGAGTGGTTGGGGAGAGAGGAGGTCACTGCCAGGCCAGGGCGATTTGGTTATTCAAAGCCCAGGTAACGGTTGGGTCCTTGAGGCCAGGGGCTCTTCTCACACTTCAGTTTCCATTTAAACCTTTGTGTCCTGCCTAAGCTCTCTGAGTGGCCAGCAATGCCTTGCCACTAGAACCTTCTCCTAAAACTCATCCTGATTGACATGAGACAGGATTTTGGTTCCTGAAGTTCATGCCCTGTTACCTAAATCCCCTTCAATACTAAAGTCAGTTCACTCTTTAATTCTGCCCTTTCAGCCTCCTGATTTCTCCTGATTTCTCCTGATTCCTTCCTTCCTCCCTGGAGTGGCCCACAATGTCCACCGTGGTCAATGTGGATTCCCTTGCGGAATATGAGAAGAGCCAGATCAAGAGAGCCCTGGAGCTGGGGACGGTGATGACTGTGTTCAGCTTCCGCAAGTCCACCCCTGAGCGGAGGACCGTCCAGGTGATCATGGAGACGCGGCAGGTGGCCTGGAGCAAGACCGCTGACAAGATCGAGGGCTTCTGTGAGTACTCACTGGGTGGGGCAGCGGGGCAGTGTGGCCTGTCCTCTGGGGCCCTGGCCTGAGCACCTGTCCACTTTCCTATCTTGTCATTACTGTGATTGTTGTTGGTTTGATGTGTTCTTTTATTCTTCTAAAAATGAAAGCATTGCCAGTTTGTGTGGGTCTCTGATGAGGTTTACAGCAGGTGGAGGAAGTTCAGCCAGGACAGCTCTGGTGAAATAACAGAAGCCGGGGTCAGCCAACTTGGAAACGGCATTTGGGCAGCCCTCCTTGCCTGGTGGGTCTGTCCCCTATCTGACAGCATCAGGGCTCGTCTGCTTCCCACAGCTGGTCGAGTCGTCTGTCCTCTTAAGGGCTAACTAGCCCAAGCTTGCAGAAACTCATAGTGTGGTCACCAAATGCTACCGTGTTTTACTGCACACCACAGCAGTGAGGGGCCTTCGCTTTAGTCTCCAAGCAGGGAGAGTGAGTTGTTGAATGTTTTGTAGCTTTCAAATGCAGCTCTGGTCCTGGTAGCGGTGTCCGAGGTGTCCTTCCTCCCCCACCTCCTTTAGATTGGTCTGTTGGTTCAGATCCTAAAGTTTCTAAGACTTTTTAACTAATAAAGGCACTTAAGCAATTTTCAGTTGCAAAGATTTGCTCTAATTTGTGTTTTTAAATTAACTAGTTTTGAATTGAAATATATATTCCTGGGGGTTAAGGAGTCAACTCAAATGTTTCTCCTCCCCAGCCCCTAATCCATGCTACTGAGGCAAGCTCGTTACAAATTACTTTTATCTTCCAGAAATAGCCTATGCTTGCATAATGTGTGGGTTAAAAAAATGGGAACTCCTGTACACTTCTGCACCTTGACTTCTTTTTGTTAATTAATAATGATGTTGGCGGTGGTTTCTTATCAGCACACATTGATCTCATTCTTTCTTTGACACATGACATGTAATGGCACAGGCCTCAATGTAACAGTTTAACTCCAGAGAGGAGCATTTTGTGCTATTTCCAGGCTTTTCTTATTAGTTGAAGTGACTATCGTTGTACTCTTTTTTTAAATAGATTTAATTTTTTTGAGACAGGGTCTCTTTCTGTTACCCAGGATGGAGTGCAATGGCATGATCATGGCTCACTGCAGCCTCTACCCTTTGGGCTCAAGTGACCTTCCTGCCTCAGTCTCCCAAGTAGCTAGGACCATGGGAATGCACCACCATGCCTGGGTAATTTATTTTAATTGAATTTTATTTTATTTTTTTGTAGAGATGGGATCTCGCTATGTCTAGGCTGGTCTCGAATTCCTGTGCTCAAGTGATCCTCCCTCCTTGGCCTCCCAAAGCATTGGGATTATAGGCATGAGCCACCTCATCCAACCTTGTACTGTTTTTTTTTTTTTTAAATAATAGTTTTATTAAGACATAATTCACATAATATACATAGAATTCACCCATTGTATGCAGCATGTATAATGTGGTGATTTTAGTATATTTATATATATGTGCAAGCACCACTACCATCAAATGTAGAACATTTATATCACCTCAAAATGAAACCCCATACCTTTCACCATCGCCCCATCCCCTCATCCCCCCTACCAGACGTAAGCAACTGTTAAATTTAATTCTGTTTCTATAAACCTCCCTGTTCTGGACATTTCATAGAAATGGATCATATATATGTGGGCTTTTGTGACTGGCCTCTTTGACTCAGCATTTTTCAAAGTTCATCCTCTTTGTTGCGTGGATCAGAAATTTCCCTTTTTATGGCAGAATCATGATACATTGTATGGCTATTCCACAATTTATGTAGTCAATCATCTGTTGACGAACACTTGGGTTGTTGCCACCCTTTGGCTAATGTAAATAGTGCTGCTAAGAATGTTTCTCTACAAGTTTTTGTGTGGGTGTCTGTTTTTATTTCTTTTGGGTATATACCTAGGAGTGGAATTGCTGGGTCTTATGCTAACTCAGTTTCATCATTTTAGGAATGGTCAGACTGTTTTCCCACGTGGCTGCACCATTTATATTCCCTCCAGTGACAGAGAAGGGTGATCTTTGCATTATTCTTCATGTGTATGTATGGGTATATCCAAAGGACAGCTTCCTGGAGGTTTATTTCTGAGCTGAAGGCTATGGCATATTTTAACTTTAAAGGGAAGTTTGGCAGCACCCCGCAAAAGAGGTTGCCCCACTGTATGTTTCAGCTACAAGGTGTAAAAGTACCTGTTGCCTGCACCCTCATCTATGCTGCCTGGCTGCTAAACTTGGCGATCCACAGGTAGATTTTGGTAGCTTGGTGTCATCCTTAATTTGATGTATCCTATCATGAGTGTGATCAAATTGCTTTCTGAAAGGCTTCTCCTGGTTTCGGAGCAAAGTGGGTCTCTTGTGGCACAGAGCCAGAGCCCTGATTTGAAACTGCCCGTGTGGAGGTAGCCATCTTCCCTCTCCACTGTTTGCATTGGTCGGCTCCACCCCCAGGTGGCCCAGAAACCTGTTGCAGCTTGGGTGGCCATCCTCCCTTCCCCCACAAGGGGTGAGAGGGTTGGCACTGATGGTAAATACAGGTGGGCCACGTTGACAGTGGACTGCAGGTTGTTCCTTTCTCTTCTCAACCTGCCCATCCCAAGCCTAGCTGCCCATCAGAAACACCCAGGGAGGATCTTGAAAGTGTAAGGTATTACCGTGGCATGTGTATTCACCTAGGCAACCAACCTGAACGTTCTGCACATGTATCCCGGAACTTAAAGTAAAATAAAATAAATATATATATAAAAGAAAGTAGAGCATATTGGAACCTTCTTCTGAAGCTCATTCTGATGGGCATGAGATAGGATTTTGGCTTGAAATCTATGCCCTGTCATTTTCCCCTTCTGCTAAGTAATATCACTTCACTCGCTTATGTGGGTGCGCTCTCTTACTCTCACTCTCTGTTTTAGAGACAGGGTCTTGCTCTGTTGCCCAGGTTAGAGTGCAATGGCCTGATCATGGTTCACTATAGTTGTGAACTCCTGGGCTCAAGTGATCCTCCTGCCCAGTCTCCCATGTAGCTGAGACTGCAGGTGAGCATCGCCATGCCTGGCTGGTATTTTAACTTTTGTGTAGATAGGGTCTTGCTATGTTGCCCAGGCTGGTCCCAAACTCCTGGCCTCAAGCGATCCTCCCACCTTGGTCTCCCAAAGTGCTGGGATTACGGACAGGAACTACCATGCCTGGCCTCAATTCATTCTTTTATTTATCTGTTCAGCCTCTTTGTTTCCTTCTTCTTTCTCCCTGGAGTGACCAAGAATGATGATATTTTACCACTTTGGCTGGGGCGTTGTATTATAATAAATCCCCCAGATGGTCTGGTAACTAGGCAGGTTTCACACATATGCCACTGGAGAGAAACTGCCCTTCTTTCCCCTTCTCCCTCCTCTCCCTCCTTTTCTCCCTCCCACTTTCTCTTTCTTTCTCTTTCCCTTCCCACCTTTGCTCCTCTCCTTTGCCTCCCCTCTGCCGTTTGAATGCCTGCTGTAGGCACTGCCCTAGGCACTAGAGATATAGCAGTTATTAAATTGGATTCAAATCTTCATGGAGCCTATATTGCTTTATCAGGTATGAGCAGTATGGGGCTTGACTTCCAGTGCCATTGGATGAACTTTGCTGTGTGATCTTGGGCAAGTTACCTCCACTCTCTGAACTTTAATTCCCTTCTCTGTGGAATGGAAATAACACTGGTGTCTACCCCACAGGGTCATGGTTGGGAAGAAGCAAATGAGAAGATGCATCAGAGAGGCTCAGCTGAATTCATAGCATGTGACAGGCACTCAGTTGTTGGGAACCACCACTGTTGTGATTTTTGCTATTGTTGCTAACTAGTAGAGTCTAGCCTGTGTAGGGAATTAAAGTCTTGCTTAGGGGTTTGGACTACAGGGAAGTAGGGTCCATTCTCAGGTTTTCAGAAGAGGGACGACGTGGTTGGATTTGCATCTTTGAGCACACTGTGGAGGTCCTGTTTGAGATGACATTGTTGGTGAAGTGACAGGGAAAGCCAATTATGTGTGAAGAGCTTATAAATGGTCCTTCCCCCTCACACCTTGAGAGAGCAGGCCTTCAGGCCCTGGGTGGGGACTGTCAGTGTCACTGCTCAGTCTCCTGCTGAGAAGGGTGACATTTTATCTCAAGAAGAACTCCCAGCTCTGGCAATTCATTCACGGGGTTCTGGTTAGGAACTTGCTGGTTACCGTGGGGTCTTCAGGGGCAGGTGCATATGAGAGGAGCACCGGCACATGGTTTTGGAATGGTTGGCAAGTGGTGTGTGACTTTTGGACAGGTGTTACAATCCCTGTGCAGCCCTGGGTAAAACACTGGGTCCTACTGTCTAAAGCAGTGCGTGGTTGTCAACCAGGGTGATTTTTGCCTCCTCCTCCCTACTCCAGGGTACGGAGCATTTGGCAATGTCTGGAGACGTGTTTGATTTTCTCACCTGGGATACAGGGTGCTACTGGCATCCAGTGTGTAGAGGCCAGAGAGGCTGCTAAACGTTCTACAGTGCACAGGACAGTCCCCACTACAGAGAGTGATCCAGCAAACATGTCAGTGGTGCAGGGGTTGAGAAACTGCTCTAGAGTCATGTGTTTGTTTTGCTCACAGCAATAAAATGTCACTGGGTAAAATAGGGTTTTGCTCTGAACCCTGTTTTGATGGAACTTTCTCATTTGTTAAGCACATGTTTGCCATCATATTGAGTGCTAAACTCTGCAGAGAGAGGGAGGAGGAAGGATGGAGTCCCAGCCTGCCAGAGGGGGAGACAGACTCAAACTCACCCTTGCAGGATTGCGTGCTTAGTGCCATAGCGGGAGTTTTCATTGGGTATGGTATGAGGAGGAAAGGCTTTTGTCCATTTGGGTGTGGGAGAGATGGTGAGGAATGGGGAGGGCTCATTGTGGAGGAGCTGCTTGGGTGGAACTGAGAGAGATTTGCTAGGTAGTTAGCAGGGATGGCTGCCCTGATCCTGTGAGATTAATGGGTGTC